GTATCGCAATATATTGGGATATATCGTATCGTGACCCCTCTTTCATATGTATCATATCACCAAATTCTTGCCAATACACAGCCCTACTTTATAGTCTGCGTCTCTGTAATTGATTTACCTTTTCAAGTCAGCCAWATTCAAGATGACCACCACAGTTAAAAGATCTCAGTAAAAACAAAAATGGCTACATCTTAGTCAAATTTTCAGATATTTAGTTAACATTGGTGTGGTTGTAGCTGGATGTCATCCACAACACATACTTGGAGCATAAAACTTATTGTATTTTCAAAAACTTTGGCAATAATTGTTAGCATTTTGGTGTCAAAARTATTCCTTCCTAATTTACTCAGGTAGAAGTGTTCATGCTACGGTTTAAGAAGACTTCTGTAGAAGTTGATACAGTTTATCACCTCAAGGTTTTACTAAAGTAAAGGTACTTGTTTTAAAACTACTAAAAGTGAAAGTAGGGTCCGACAATGGCTTAGCAGGGTTTGACAAATAGGACCTCCYGGTGCACGTAAAACACATATTTGAGCAAGTGGGTGTGTCCCAGTGCCTGCCCCACCGGGCATGTAAACCATTTCTTTTATTTTTTTATAGCCTTTTAATAAAACAAATCTGAAAATAAATGAAGGAATATAGTGCTTTAAAACGTGCATAAAGAGAATAAATCCTCATAATTTCTCCCTCGCCCCKCTGCATGTTGCATAAAGCAAAACATTAACATACTGTAGTTTTTTCACATCCAAGTTGGTGTAGGAAAAACTTTTATTTATTTATTGTTGCCTGCAGAGATGAAAAAAGATGTGGCCCTTCGTTCAGTCATAAGTCCATCTTGCTAAACAGTCGGCTTCTACTCTGAGAGAGCAGCTGTGGATCATTTTAACAACAGCTGGAAGCTCACCTGTATGGCAGGCTGCCATTACATTTATTTGGCTTTAACACACTTGCATTCCAGATATCTGGAATTGTGTTATGACTAGACAAATCAGTTGTTTAAGATCTACTGGGCTAAGAAGAGTATCTTAGTCCAGTGGTGTCCAAAGTCAGTCTTTGAGGGCCGGTGTCCTGCATGTTTTAGGTGCTGCTCTGGTTCAACACAGCTGAATCTAAGTAATGCTTAATTAGTAGGCATCCTCAGTATACCATCAAGGTCTGCAGAGGCCTACTAATTAGGTTCAGCTGTGTTGAACCAGGGCAGCACCTAAAACATGCAGGACACTGGCCCGTGAGGACTGACTTWGGACGCCACTGTCTTAGTCCATGGGCTAGGGTAGGTCACCAGTATTTTCAGGTACCCTAGGGTCCACTCTTTTAAGAAAATGCATGTTAACAGAAAAAAAGTTGTCTCTCACTCCCCCCAGGGACCCCTTTTTTACCACACCCATTTTCCACTGTGACCATTAAAATTAGGGATACAGAAAACTTAAATGCCAATRATTTTGCTATAAACCAACCACATGTTATAAACAAGGTATCAGCTGATTTGTATTGATTAGCTCTTTGATTTAGATGAACAAATATGCATACAATGATGTCATGAGGGGGTCAAAAAGTCACAACCCTAACCAAAGATGAGAATTGTCATATTTTTGTGCACACCCCCACTACTGAACTTCTCTGGTGTTTTCATGTTCCTTAG